CCCTGGAATGACCGTTGACAATGCAGTCAACATAATGCAGGAGGCACATCACAATGGTATGTCAGTGGTAATTGTCTGCGCTCAAGTGGACGCAGAAGATCACTGCATGCAGCTACGAGGCAATGGTCTTCAAAGTTCAATCGAGCCTGCAAGTGATGGTTGTTGAATAGGAAACATAGACCATGTAATGTACTCTTTTCACCCCTTAGTTATCAGCCATATTAAAATTGCATGCCCTCAACTGCTACAATTTGCAAGCTGCACCTATGTACATATATAGAGATACTTCATAAACAAATAAACTTCAATTTATGAATACCATGTTCACTCTAGTTATGTTATGAGTTGTACACACAAACACATCTTCTTTTTCAGTTGACTTGTTTTTACTTGACTTCCATGTGGTTTGTTGTGCATTCTGATCTTTCTTGTATCTTTCTGGTAATAACTCAATCTCATCGTTAGATATTGTCTTCTTTGAGCTTTTCCTTTCGAGCCTCCCTTTAAGGTATTTAGAATGTGTCTGCTAGGGAGATGTTTTCACACCCTTAATCAGAATGTTTTGTTCCCCTTCACCTTTCTTTTCCTTGGTAGGACGTATTTTGAGTAAATATGTGCAATATTCTTCCCTTGGTCCCATCCCCATGCGTACATTGAGAAGAATTCTAAAATTGCTGTTCTCTCTGTTGCTTGGTATAAAACCCATCGGTACAAGAAATATTCTTTTTATAGATTGAGACGTCTAGAACTGAAACTCTATATTCATCACACAGTTACCAGTTCCTGTCTTTCCAGTTATGGGAGAGAGCTCTGAACTGCTGGATTTTCCAGTTTCCAGTTCCAGTCCTTCAAGAGGGTAAAGAGGGTCAGTAATCACCTCTTAATGAAGAATTTATATATCCATCAATCTCCGATTCACTTCTTTTGAAAGGTTAAAGAAGTCATAGGATTAACTGATCAACTAATCAAGTCCAGCCTTTTCTTTTGGACTCTCTTCGAGGTTTTTAAAACGCTTCGGTTAGGGAGAGGTTTCCATGCCCTTATAAAGAATGTTTCGTTTCCCTTTCCAATTGATGTGAGATTTCACGCAACCATAGCAGTGCTTTCCATATTAGCTTCTTCATCTTGGAGCCATGAGAAAACTAGTTGCTATATTTCGAAGTCTTTTGAATACACCTGTGAATGTAATATTGCAGGACTGAGAAAGAGGAAAGTGGGGTGCACCAACTCTTGCATGAGAGACTCAACTTGGACTGCTCTTGAATTACTGCAGCAGCTGCAGGTAGGTCCAATATCCTACCTATACTGCTATTATTTCTTTCCTTATTTATTATAACATGACAAATTTACTTCGAAAAATGTTTAGGATAATCATGGATTTTTATATAATAGGAGTAGTAGGTGAAGTAAGTAAGGTACCAAAACATTACCATTCTATTTATCATTCCTTTTAAAACTTAGCTTTCTTAAGTATGGTAGGTGAATATTATTAACTATCATCAACCGTATACAATCTTAAACTTATTACTTTGTATCAAGTTATTTATGAAGAGAAATTTACACTCTGAGGGTGAAATAGGAAAGTTGTTCCTTCCCATAACTTTTTTGTGCCTCTGAACTATGTTAGAGAGTTTCATAAATCAAAATATCGTTCTTTTATAAATCTCCCTAAAAGATAAACAATACATCTATAAATTCAGTATAAAATTATATATATATATATATATATTATATATATATAACAAGATCTATGACTTAGTTTAGAAGTAAAAAAGTCAAAACGGCAATATCTGCTAGCAGTGGACTTGAGCTGTTACAAGTGGTATCAGAGTTAGAAATCGGGCGGTGTGTCAGCGAGGACGCTGGGCCTGAAGGGGGTGGATTGTGAGATTGCACATCAATTGAAGAGAGGAACGAGTGCCAGCAAAGATGCTAGGCTCTAGAGGGGGTGAATTGTGAGATCCCACATCGGTTGAAGAGGGGAACGGAGTATTTTTTATAAGGGTATGAAAATCTCTCCATAGCATATGCATCTTAAAAACCGTGAGGCTAATGATGATAGGCAATCTTGAGTTGTTACAAATGGTATCGGAGTTTTTAACTATTTTTTCATTTTTTGATATTAATATTTTATCGGTATATCTGTAGAATTGACAGATATCGATAGCGATATCGACGTCCATAATTTGTATGTAAATTCGGACATTTTTTAAAATTAAATCTGTTTCAATTGCAAATTATATAAATATATATCATTTGTAAATTAAAGATAAAAACTTGAATATATTTTTTTAATTTTTTTAATTTTTTGAAAAAAAGAAAACAGATAATGCCAACTTGGGAGCAGTGCATAGCCTCCAACCCCAAACCAAACTCGACCATCTTCCCAATTAAAAACCTTACTCCCTTTTTAAACCCGACGCTCCAACTCTTACCTCTCACTGCAATTTTTGTTCCCAACAATGGCGACTGCAAATCTGCTACCTCTGTTCTCCTTCGCCAGCTTCTTTTTCTCTCTCTTGCCCTTCACTCTGTGTCGCACTTCGCCGGAGCTTTCTCACTCTTCCTCCTCCTCCGCTTTTCTCGATGTTTCGGCTTCACTGAAACAAGCCAACCAGGTCCTCAAATTCGACCCCAAGGCTTTGCTATCCTTCCAGCAGCAGGATGAGGTTGTTCCGGTGAACTCTTCTTCCTCCTTTTCTCTGCAACTGCACTCTCGCGACGCTCTTCAAAATGCCGGACATCAGGACTACAAGAGCCTGGTCCTTTCCCGGCTGGACCGGGACTCTTCTAGAGTTAAATCGCTCAACGATAGGCTTGAATTTTCCCTCAGTGACTTGAAGAGGTCGGATCTTCAGCCGTTGCAAACGGAGATTCTGCCAGAGGATCTGAGCACTCCGATTGTCTCTGGCACCAGTCAAGGAAGCGGCGAGTATTTCTCCCGCATCGGCGTCGGACGACCGGCTAAGCCGTTCTATATGGTTCTTGACACCGGCAGCGATATCAATTGGCTTCAATGTCAGCCTTGTACGGACTGTTACCAGCAAACCGACCCGATTTTTGACCCGAGAACTTCGTCTTCTTTTGCTTCACTTCCCTGCGAATCTCCGCAGTGTCAAGCTCTAGAAACGTCTGGCTGTCGTGCTGCGAAGTGTCTTTACCAGGTCGCGTACGGCGATGGCTCCTTCACTGTCGGTGAGTTCGTTACTGAATCTCTGTCGTTTGGCAACTCCGGGACGATTAACAATGTCGCTCTTGGCTGCGGCCACGACAACGAAGGATTATTCGTCGGATCCGCCGGATTGCTCGGACTCGGCGGCGGATCACTATCCCTCACTTCTCAGATGAAAGCGTCGTCATTCTCATACTGTCTTGTGGACCGCGACTCTAGTTCGTCTTCAGCTCTCGAGTTCAATTCCGCTGCACCGAGTGACTCAGTGAATGCTCCATTACTCAGAAGCGGAAGAGTCGATACATTCTACTACGTCGGACTGGTCGGATTGAGCGTCGGCGGCCAGTTACTGTCAATTCCTCCTTCTCTGTTTCAAATGGACGATGCCGGCTACGGCGGTATCATCGTCGATTCAGGAACCGCCATAACTCGACTGCAGACTCAAGCCTACAACACCCTTCGCGACGCCTTCGTGAGTCGCACACCATACCTGAGGAGGACAAACGGCTTCGCATTATTCGACACATGTTACGATCTATCATCCCAGTCAAGAGTCACCATTCCAACGCTGTCATTTCAATTCGCCGGCGGGAAGTCTCTGCAGCTGCCGCCAAAGAACTACCTCATCCCAGTGGACTCCGTCGGAACTTTCTGTTTGGCGTTCGCCCCAACGACGTCGTCTTTGTCCATCATAGGGAACGTCCAGCAGCAAGGGACACGTGTCCACTTCGATTTGGCAAATTCACTCGTAGGGTTTTCACCCAACAAATGTTAGAAAGGGTAAAAAATAAAAAGGAAAACATATAAATTAGGGCTTTTGTGTGGGAATTAACGAAATTAGGGCTGTGGTGAATTATTATGAAATTAGGGTTTTTGAGGGGAAATTAATTGGGGAATTGAAGGTGGGGCAGATGGATGTGGATAAGTAAATATGGCCATATGGATATCAATTGGAGAAAGGTTTGCACCACCCATGTGCTCCTCATAAATCAATCATAATTGTACTCTCAAGATTCAGTTGAGTGGCATGCATGGTAAATACAGTGCAAATTTATGGTCTAATTTCATCCTTCATCTTATAAAATACCAACTGTACCTGAATTTTCAATTACTTAAATTTAGTTTATTTATTATCGATAAATCTTAAATTTAATTTTTATTGAAATAGGCTAAATAACAATTGAAATATATTTTCAAAATTTCTTAAAAAAATGCTAATAATATTAGAGAAAAAATATTTAAAATAAGAACAAGAACCGAGGGCTTGGGAGAAGGGAAGGGGAGTGGGATCCACTTTAGGGGCGAGTTAAAAATGATAGGGTGCAACAAGGACCACGATAATGTTATTGTGGATGAAGTAATGGCCACCGATTCCCCATATGCATGTGAGGCCACAGCGTGATTGTCGGTGAGGTCCGAGGTTATAAATGTAAAATCATGTACTTTCACTAATAAACAATTTTAATAAATAAATAAAAAAGAAGAATTTCTTGAAGCCTTGCAGCAAGTTGAGGCTTAAAAGATTCTAATATAAAATAAAAGTTTATAGCAATAATTGAAATGGTGAAGAATTATGAACCATTAATCTTAAAAAAACAATTAAAAAAAACATACATACTTCAAATTTTGTGTTGTAAAAATTAACTTTTTGGAATAAATTTTGGAGCCCACGTGTTTACGTACATAAATAAGTCCTAAAATAAGCATGTGGGTGTCAACTCTTTTTATTTTAATTTATTTTTATTATAAAATAATAAATTTATTGGATAAAAGAGAAATTAGATAGTGATGCTAAATTAATTAAATTAAATTAGATTGGATTGATTTGATTTAATAGGAGGGCACATGGGAATTCTTATTATGAATAGGAATAAATAAATACAAAAAAGAAAAGACAACAATGGGGGCGGTGCCTTCATGTGAATGTTTGAATTGAATGGGACATTACTCCCTTTTTTGAACTCCAATTTTGAACTCCAATCGTCTCCTGTCATGAAATAAAACCATATCTATATGTTTTCCGTCTTACAATTTTAAAATACGTCTATTAGAGAGAGATTTCCACATTCTTAAAGGAATGTTGCGTTCCTCTCTCCAACCGACATGGAAGCTTACAATCCACTCTTTTGAAGGTCAGTGTCCTCACTAGTACACACCTCTGTATTGCTCTATACCATATGTAATAGCCAAAACTCATGTCTTAACTCTTACCTAGAATGCTCAGTTCCCGCTCAACCATAACAATAAATAAGAGGGAGAAGGAAGAAGAGGGCAAGCAGACGTAAGAAGGGAGTAAAGCGTTGGAGTTGAGGATGGTTTTGCATTTATGGAGGACGTTGAGGGCGGCCATGGAAACAGAGCGCTGCACAACAAGTGTCTAACTAAGCCTTATCTACAGATTTTATGACAATCAGTTCTCCCTCTCGATTCTTCAACCCCACACCGCTTCCTGATATCACTGCTTACAACGACAACTGGGTGGGTGTTAATTGACGTTTAAAGAAAATATTTTATGGGAGAGGCGAATTGAATCAAAGGAAGACGTAGAAGCTTTGTTGTTCAAGGCTACATGAAATCGTCTTGGTATGAGGCAATTCCATAGGGAAGGTGTTCACCAGAAACCTGAAAAACACAGGCAGACAAACCGTTAAATTACACACAAAACATGGGCCACCCAACAGAGGAAATGCATAGAGAAGAAGATGACAAGACGCGCAAAGACAGAGCCTCCGTTGGTGATTTGCTAAGATGAGATAATTAAAGCAATTAAAGTTAGGTAGAGGTAGCTCCCTTCTATCAATTCCTGTCCTTCTCAACTTTTATCGCTTGGTTTGCTGCATGGTGGGTGAGGCTTTTAGCTTTATTGATCTCTTCAAAGATCACAACTTTATGCCTAAGAGATTTCGATCCAAGAGAGAGAGAGAGGATTCAGTGTGGGGTTCAATACTTCTTCCACTCAATAATGACAAGGATGGTTAAGAGAGGAGTCCTGCGTAGACTAATTAAAAGGTTAATCACATTTATAGGTAAGAAATACACCTCTATTGGTACAAGGCCTTTTGGGTTCAGCCATAAGAGTTTATGCTCAAGATGCTCAAAGTGAACAATATCATAACTTTAAGGAGAGGCGTAATTCCTAATATGGTATAGAGTCACACTCTTTATTTAGCCATCTCAATAGAATACTCAAATGTCGAACAAAGAAGTTGTGAGCCTCGAAGTAAAAATGACTCAAGTGTCAAACAAATTGTTTACTTTGTTAGAGGGGTTCAAAGAAAAAGAGTTGAGTCTCGATTAAGGGGAGGTTGTCTGAAGACTCCATAAAGCCTCTAGAGAGGCTCTATAATGTACTTTGTTCGAGGGGAGGATTGTTGGGGGAGGAGTCCAATATCGGCTAATCAAGAGGTTAATCATGAGTTCATAAGTTACTTATAATACATCTCTATTGGTATGAGGCTTTTTGGGAAACCAAAAGCAAAGTCACGAGAGTTTGTGCTCAAAGAACAATATCATACTATCGTGGAGAAGAGTCGTGATTCCTATCCATCCCATTCAGATTCAGACGCATTCAGAGCTTTCAAGGAAGTTGGTAGCTGAAACTGCCGCCCATGCATAAAGCAATTTGATGCACACAGTAAACAAAAAGGAACCCTTCAAGGTCCATAAAAGGGTTTAAATATTGAACGTTTTCAACCTATTTGTTCCCGAGGTTCGTGGGAGTTGGACAAAAGTTGCACTTTTGCTGAACTCCTCGACCAAAAGAATCCGTATTGTGTTTGAGTCAACTTGCAATGTAAAAACTTTAACTGACAAGAGATTCCAACCACTTGGATGGTTAAAACTAACTCAGTTGGATTATCAAAAAGCTTCATATAGTAGGAAATATGATAGCATTTTACACACCTCATCTCGTTCTTGTTTATTGAAGCATCCATTTTCCCGGGAGGGCGCCATATGATGTCTAGAATGCTTTCACCCATTTATCAGCTGATATCACATATAGAACCAGCGTGGGTAATCTCGACTGCCTCTCAAGTGATCAATGATACTCCTCATCCTGCCACGGATAGCAAATAAGCAATTAAAATTCATCTCTCTCGGCCTGTTGTTCTTCTTAATGTTTATTCTATTTACAAACTTAAATCATACAATCAAAACTCGTAATCCTAGAATCTTTTACTGAGCTTAAATTCTTGGATCAGGCGCACATGGTGTCTTTTAATACATTTACTATTATTCAGTCAAACCAAGTAAATTCTATTTTCTCCTCTGAAAAGCTACAAAAGTTCACAAATATAAAATCTGTGTTCAGATCTGAAGAAAGTACGCTTTTCAGTAAGACAAAAACTTCTGCAGTCAAATTTCAAGCAAAATTCATATTCAAAGTATATTGTTCCTTGTGAGACAAAATTCTGCAAAAGCACAACCTTTCAACCAGAAATCCATTATAATGGAATATGCTTCTTTTTTTCAGGATGGACAACACATGCACTGCTGAGATGCCTCACAGATAATAGAAAATAAAAAACAGCATTGCTCAGATACGAAGCATAGAATAGATTGGGCCAAAATGACCACAGAAACTGTTCATCATGAATGCAACTTCTGTTGATATATATATATAAATATAAAGAAAAGGCAGAGGGTATGAAACAGGCCCAGAAAGATACTACGTGAGAACCTACCGCTGTAGCTCCTGGTATTAAGGATATTAAAAAATGAATGCCCACAAGACCTACCTGGAAATCCCTTCAGCTTCAGCTACAGGATCCACCATCTCAAAACCTAGCTGGAAATTTAGCCATAGCATTAGCTACTGCTAGTGTTTAAATTCGTCTTCATAAAGGCCATCCAGATAACACTAATAATCAATCTTAAATCCTAATTTTCTCGAGATAATCGTAAGTTCATGCTCGGGAAACAGCCCTAAGAGGTTTCCCACGCATACTTCATTAATTAAACAGAAAGTAAAGCATAATCTTTTCGTTCGGTATAGTTACGAAAAGAGAAATTTCGATTTCATATAGCAGAGATAGGAGCATACGGACATTATGGCGCGTGCGATCATACTTCTTCCCGGGATTCCCGAGGCCCACGATGAGCCATGGCTTCGGCGGCGGCGCGGGCTTCTTGTCATCTACAGCCAGATGATCGGTGATCGGAGGCGAGGAAGTAGACATCGACGCAGTAATTGAAGAAGTTGACGAAAAGATATGCGAAGTTCGAGGAGGGAAAGAAGAGTGGGTTTTGAAGCTAAACCGAGTATAACCAAGACAAAGGCTAAGGATAGATAAAGAGTGTGAGAGACATGTTGGAAAAAGGACTCGTTAGGGTTCTGGATCTTAACTTCAAAAGTTGGAGTTTCGGTATGATTTTGGGTAATGCAGCTGAAGTTAAGTTTGAGTTTGAGTGCTCGCCAAATTTGTTGTCGATTGAACACCCAATAGATACACCATGAAATCATATGACCATTCGTCAAAATCTTGTCTTCTCCTGTTGCACGTAACAAAAAAATGCCTCTTAATATACGGGAGATAGGCATGAGCTCTCCACCATCCTTAGGCCCTGTGGTCGGGGTGAGCTACTTTGTGACATACATGTGTCATAGTGTATATGAGTTTTGCAAGATGGATGTCTTGAGCGTTCTTTCTTTGAAGTAGATTTTTTGAGTACATTGTCGAACGAGAGGTGTGTTGACATTGTATCCTAACCCATGTGTCAAAAGTTGATCTATGCACCTGCTACATAGTACGATATCCATAAACGACTTGACATGGGCACAAAAGTTCATGTCTTGATAGTACCAAAGTGGATGAATGTTAAGGAGTTCCGACAATATAGTTGACTCATGGGGTTGGTTCTCAATAAGCGTGCATTAGCAAGTAGCAAGGTCAATGACATCCCAAAACTTGGGATAATATTATGATGCGTGAATCGTGCTGTTGGAAACCAAGATGACAAGATAAGATGCGACGTTCTCGTGTGCATACAACTTCTAGCTGCACTCATATGGTCGAAACTTGAAACCGAGGTAAGGCAATATGGGATCATTCTAGATGACTTCTCTGTAATAAGCTTGGCTTTCGCCCGCATAGTCAGAATACATGTTCCAAAATATGTAAGTCAGATTTGAGTACAAATCTCTATTTGAAGTTTTTTTAGAACATTAATGAAAATATAGACTTAATGGATGAGAGATCCAACATTAATCTAAACAAACATACTAACTGGACATCAATTGCTACAAAATCTTGATTGAAACTCAACTCACTCACACAGTCAAAACTCACCTCTCTTATATACTAGTGCAACATTCCGATATATATTGTGCTATATCCTGATGTGTAAGAGTGAAAACAACGAAAATTCAAACAGACAGAGTAAGTCTAAAATCCTTAATCTAAAGCCCAATGTGATCCAAAACTTGAATAAGCTAATAAAACCGACCAGTTAGCCATTGATTACACATTTCCACATCTGGTTGCCCCAAAAAACGCAGAGAATCAGTGAATGTTGGGGTATGGCATTGGCATCTTCATTCCATGAGGGTAGCTTCGCAGTCTTGTAATGAGTCCTCACTTTTCTGTACATTTCACCGCTGAAATATTACATCAACCAAGTCCAATTTTTAGCTGGAGCTAGCCAACTCTTTGAATCACATTTCCGCATATATTGATGAAGCAAATGAAAAGAAGCTGCGGACCAAACAAATGGCATAACCAGAGTAAGGTTTTTGGAAACTTTTTGAAAGAACGCAAAAGGAAATACAAAAAACATGATAGTATAACATTTGAACTCACAACGATAATGTTGCCTCAGATGTTGATAGTTGCTTCCCAGAGCCTCAGAAGGCCATTACGACCACCAGTGCATATTCGTTTCCTTTCGAGGTCCGAAGATGCGCATCGTACCTGGATGAATACAATAGGTGCACTCAAATGGAGAACTTTTTCTTAAAAATTTCAAAATAACAACACTAAGAATCAAAACAAAGAGAACTAGAAAAGCAAGATCTCTGTGGACAAGGAAAGATTGTTCTACTCTATAATGGTAAAACATTCTTAACATTTGAATATTGCATGTAGTTCTTTAGCTTTGACTTCATTGGCCTGAGTAAAGGAAGTCACAAGGCAACAACTAATTTCCTTGTCTTCTACATTTATGTAAAGGGAAGGACAAACCCGTTTCCCAGGATAGAATAGAACCAAAACATTATATATATCTATATACCTATATATATATAAAAAGGAACAGAAGGCTGTCAAAAGAGTCCAAACCAACTAAGAAATCGGAAAAAAGAAAAGGAGAACTTTATACCATGGCTGCAGTCTTTTGTGGGGTTCTGTACAGTTGCCACCCAGCCATTTTTGCACCCGAGTTAGAGAAGCCACCGAGTCTCTCTTGTGGCCGATGAAATAGGGACATAGAGTTATCTGCCGCTCCAATTCCTAACCAATGTTCCCCAGCACTGATGGACAGTATGGCAGCACTATGAATGGTGACATTCTTCACACATCTAATACCTCCTGCACATACAACCAGAGAAGTTTGCATAACAGTCTCACGTGAGCAAGAAAATGAAAAAGCCCCAATGCAACGAACAAAAGCCCATAATTGACACTTGATGATGTAGAGGAAAGATAAAGAAGTAAAAAGACTTCATCATCAATAACTTCAAAATTATACATAGATAATTTACCATCCTCGTTTTCCCAAAAACGAAGAAGTCCATCAGATGAACCTGAAAGGAAAGCATGTACCCATTATTTCAATTTGAAACTTCCATGTTCTTTAACTGCATTAGTAACCTGATGAAGGTAAGTTACATACCAGTTATTATTCCTTTATCCAGTGTAGAATACTCTACGGCCAATATTGGGCCAGCATGGCATGCTAGAACAGCATCACATGCTCCTCGAGAAACAGACCAAAGTCTAGCGGTCCAATCATCACTACCAGTAACAATAGTGTCTCCTACCATTCTTATTGAGCTGCATGGATGCCATATATGTATTAAACTGACCGATATATTAAAATACACAAAGAGACAATACTAGGAAAGCCAAGAAAAACAAAAATTGTGATCTCTACACTAGTGTAGCTGAAGACGCTTGTCCTCTCTGTCTGGAATGTTCACCTTGCTTTTAAGCTTAGGTTTAGAGATTTTATTTATCCTTGAACTATTTTTATTTCCTAGCCTGCAAGTTAGTATTTGGGCAGACCTTATATTATTACAATGCATTTAGTTGGTGGGCTGGTAATTTAACCGGTTACCCACATTTTGAGCCTACAAATATTGGCTCCTTAAGGTTGTATTGATATCTTTTTCCAAATAATAAAAGCAACTACTGTGGGTTACACCACTTACCGTATCCATTTCGTATGACCTAAGAGCTTGTGCATTTGCCGGCCAGCACGGATGTCCCAGATATTTGCTATTCTGAAATGCGAATATCCAGTATATAGATAACAATTTAGTGACAGTATACTCACAAAAGACGTAATAGAACATATCTCATTTCAGACAATTAACGGCGTATCTCAGCCACCTTCTAAATCAACATAACCAAAGCAAATATAATTTCAGTGAATTAACATACGTATCTCTACCACCAGCAGCCAATATCCCCGTAGAGTCATCATATTCCATGCATATAACTGCACTAGAGCAACGACCAACAGTTGCTACACAAGTATCAGTTCTGACATCCCACATCTTCACGGTTCCATCATGCGCAGCGGTAAGGACACGTTCACCTGATAGCATACGCACACAACTGACCTGCAAAGATCAACATATGACACATTTAGGGATTGCAGACTCCATTTAGTTAATAATACTGGTTTTCATAATCTTATTCCAAAAAAACCTGTGCATCGTGGCCTTTCAGCTCTTCTAGAAGCTGGGTTGTTTGCTTATCCCATACAATAACTGAGTGATCATCAGACCCAGAAACTACTTTTCCTCGATCAGAATTAATCGCACGAACAGGTCTGTATGCTCACAAAAAAAGGGTTCAGAGAGGGGCTTTATTTAAGTAAAACTAAAAAAACTATGCACGTAGTAGTGAACTTATACCGAAAGAGACTAAATCAAACTGATCGCTCAGAATGAGAATTTAAGGAGTTAGAGAAAATACCCTGTGTGACCCTTTAAAGTTGCTCGCAGTTCAGAACCACGAAGACTTGGATCCCATATCTTGACCTAGGCAATTTTGTTCAATATGATTCAACACTTCAAAATCCATATTTCACACAAAATCTTTAGTCCACATGGTTCTCCCAAAGATGAGAAAAATGAGATATCAAAATTTTACCAAGCAGTCTGTGCTTCCACTAATGAAGAAACCTGCATCCTCACGGTCTCCCACCAAGTCCCACACCTCCCTTTTTGAAACACAATGAAGTGCTGTCACAGCTCCACTATGACCCCTAAGAACGCGAATATTGCTTTGAACTTTTTTCTGCCCAGCCGAGGGTAAATCTTGTCTTTGAGAAGTACCACTCTCGCTCGGGACTGAATGCAAAAGAGTAAACAAACAACAAAAACTCTTTGATTGTACTGCTAATATTAATCCACAAAACCTTGATAAAAACTACATATGAGGCACCCACCATCAGCAGTCCAACGGCCACTACGACCCAAGTTAATCCTTGCAGATGTGTCCCTGCTGAACATGCTCTGAACCCAGCTTCTTCCAACAACAGAAGCCTCAGCAGGCTGCTGATTCTGATCAGATCCATCTTTGGGATGCGGAGATGGCGTTGCATGGGCAGATGTGGATTGAGACTTAACAGCAGAGAGTCCCCAATAACTAATGCGCAGCTGCTGGATATGGGATAAGAAACCTCGAAGCTTTATCTGAAAATCATTAAAGTAGGATTGTAGATGAGAGAACTCATATGGTAATGCAACTGCAAAACCTATTCTGAGTTTAACACTTTCCAAACTGCAGCCTGCATGGGACATTATACACGCGATTTACAGGATCCAGAATGAAATCCGGGAACAAATGATAACAAACAATCAACCATCTTTGGAACTTTTCTTAATTGCAGATGAAGCAAGCATTGGTGGATGTGAACAGTTCTGTAATGCATACGCAGATAATGATGAATCCGATAAAATCATTTGACTTACAAGTTGTTTGTATCCTATGCTGTTTTTCTCCGCAATTGTCTCAATCATGTACCAAGCATCGATGTCAGGAAGGCCAAGTCCAGCCTTTCAAGTAGGCAATAAACAGAATTAAGTTTCTTTTTATGGGGGGTGGGGCGTGGGGAAGGGACTTGATTACAAAAACGAGTGATAAGATACGACAACTAAAGTAGCATTTTTGTGTGTGTATTTCAGGGGGGTGAGAAGTACCATATGCGATGCCATAACAATTAGCTGTGCAGAAACCAGA